GGGAGCGACGGCGGCGGTGAAGGACCGCCCGACGGCGACGTTTCGGTCGCTTTCGATGATTGTGGGGAAGAACTGGTCCGCGGCGAAGCAGATCCACGCGATGTGGGCCAATCTCGTCGCGCCGCGTGGCGCGGAGCTGAATGGGCTGGCTTTGCCGGTGTACATCATGAATGTGGTGATGGTTTTCGTGATGTGGGCCCTGGTCGCGGCGGTCCCGTGCCAGGACCGGGTTGGGCTGCCGCTCCATATCCAGATCCCGAGGCAGTTCGCCTGGGCCCATAGCCTTAATGGGCTTCAGGAGAAGATTGGGGAGGAGTGGAAGAAGAAGGAGAAAAAGGGGTCGGCGGGTTTGTTGGAGGAGATGCAGAAGATGGAGAAATTGAGCCAAGGGTTGATTGAGTTCGCCGACGGGTTTCAGTTTCCGGTGGAGGAGGAAGGGAAATTGGAGGAAGTGGCGGCGCAGGTGAAGGAGATGGCGGAGGTTTGCCGGAGGATGGATGAAGGGTTGGTGCCGTTGCAGCAGCAGATTAGGGATGTGTTTCACCAGGCGGTGAGGAGCCGGTCGGAGATGATGGAGTTGTTGGAACACGCCGGCAAGATTTCTCAGCCCATGATGTAGAAGAGGGGTAAGATGGATATTTGAGGGGTGGGAATTTGTGCAGAGTGACATGTTTTTTCTTTTTTTCTTTTTTGGGTTGTTGAAGGTTATGGAATTTTTGTTTTGTTTTATGCTTCTAATGTGTGATTAATTAGACGGCCATATGGTATAGGGCTCCGGCTGCAGAAAACACTAAACATGTGGAATTATGCATTCCTGGATGTGAAATAGCTAAATAGTACACTCTATATTGTGTTATATCTATGAGTGGTGATAAGAAAGCATGTTTCAATGTCTGGAATTTTGGTAGGAAGTGCAGTAAGGACATATGATTATGACAAAGTGTAATCTAAACCATTTTGTTTATAGTAGTAATGGTCATTTTGTCAACAATGTAATGCTTCCAAATGCCCCTGTTGGAAATTGGGTTGGGTACGCTTCATAGACGTAACTCGTAAGCTCCGAATTATAATATTTGCTCTCGTGGTAATATCAACCAGAAAGGATGTCATATGATAACTATGATGATTTGGGTAAAGGGTTGTTGTTCATTAGTCACAAATCACAATTAAGCCGAAGCATGGGAGAATTATATTTCTAGATGTCAGTCTGAAGTAATAACTAGTAACTGCAAGTTCTAACAAAAGAGAAGCCTAGCTGGGTATGTCTTCTTCTATTCTATGCATATGACAATTTTTATGAGTATTGGCCTATTGGGAACAAAAACTTTGTATTTATGCTTTTAGAGTTATTAGTTTTGTGCCAGTGATCATGTATTTTCCTTTTGTCTTCACTCCATCCTCATTAGCTCACAGGGGCTAAGTATACAATATTATGTTGGGTATAGAAAACATTTAAACCGTTGAATTTGTCTCCACAAACAAAATCCTTAATGTAATCGTAGATAACATTCCTTAATCAAGACGGAAGCACATGGCAACAGAAAATAGTTATTTATATTTATGATCATCTGGAGCTAGCTAGCTAGCTAGGTAAACCCCAAAAAATTTATAATTGATCTTGTTACGGTTTGATAATTGGCAAGTTAAGCCAGTAGTGTTAGCTAGTGACGGTAGAATGAAAATGACATCCGAATTCCAAATTATACGACGTTTCAGTTAATTCCAACCTTCACATCTAGCCTTTTGCCATTTGCCAATGTTGGTTTCCTTTTATCTTCATTGGTCTTCGATTCCTTTTGTGGGAATATACAGAAAACAAAACCAACACGACAAACAGCAGCCGTGGTTAATGCTTTTCCCAAGTAGTAATCAGAAGGTATGCAACCAAGAAGGGAGGGAGGGAAGAATCGGATAGCACTTGCAGGCACTGGACCATCGCTGCATTTTTGTTGGGCACATCAATCAAGATAAACCAGTTGACCGACCCCTTTTTTGGGGGTGGTTTGATTTCGGCACCCCCAATCCCAATCCTGCGGAAGAAGAAGACATGAAATTAGCAGAGTCAAAGAAATGAACTCTGCTTCGGCGCATAGAGACGCAGGGTGAAATCGCTACTTTTACCTGTTAATATTTTGCTAGGCTATGTATATGGATTTTTTTTGTGTGTGTGTGTGTTCCTTGTGAAGGGGGCAGAAACTGAAGTGGGAAACAACGTTTGGAGTTGTCTGAAAGCGCCACCATGACAGGTTCAAGGAAAAAACAGGACAGGCCAGCTGCGCGGCGGCAGCAGGAGGAAACACTTGAATCCGGGCTGCTCTTTGGAGCCGTTCGCTATTCCCGGCTTCAAATGTGTTGAATGGAGTTATTCTCGGGTGGTCCAAATTTATTTGCTGCGAGTAGTTGTTGGGTACTTAGGTCATACTCTGTTTGGTCAATAATCAATAGTCATAGACTCCACAAGAACGTAGTTGAGAATCTAAAGACCCAAATAATAACGATGTTGCCTGCATTTTCAATGAACATGTTAGGAGGTTTACCATATAGAGTTGGCTGGAGTTGCATATAGAAATTAGAATTACTTAGGGATATATTGAGACTAGTAAGATTGGTTTGCAAACAAAATTCGTAGACCGTCATACACCTCGTGAAGATTGTTAGTTGGAGCCATCCATACTATGTTCTAGTAACGGAGATTATATACTTTATATGACTTTTCAACGAAAAAGTCTTGGTAGAGCAAATCAAAAGGTAACTCGTGTCGGATTTCTTTGATTTTTTTTTTCCATTCAAAAACCTCTGATATCTTCGCAATTTTGAATAGAGGGCACCTTAGCCTCTTAATTTCATGTTCTCCCACCTCAATAATGGGCGTGTGTTTGTTTTCCGCCTACAATCTGCTTCGTAAATAAAGGCTCAAATATTTTGTCCCATTGGTTATTTACTTATTTGTCCCCAAGATTCGAAATTCAAAATGTAATTAATGTTTTTATCCTACATTACCACTAGGCCAATCTCTTGAATGGTTGACCAAATATTTCCCCTAATAATTTACATGGCCCGATTGAAAAAAAAATCCTGGGCCCAGTGAGCCCAACCAAGTAATGTTCACGTTTGTATAAAAAACCCAAATATTAATCTTCACGGAAGGAGAAACACATCCCATTGCTGCTTAATAAACACTTGCATTGTTCGGTCCATTAAACTGGTCGGATTATTGGCTCTCCTTCTTAAATCTTAATAAACCCTTTACACCATTCAGGCACTCACCCCAATCCCCATATGTATTGCCCATCCGAAAACTCAAGCCCAAGACATAGTTCATTCTGCCGATTCCAAAACAAGACAGCCCAGTGTGCAAGACTCTTTGCCTCACTTGTACAGTTGCACCAGCTACCCCAGCACTCCAACAGAAGGGGAACCCTATCCAGGTTACTCCAATGGAACATATACCTAGCTCTAACTTGCCAATTCCTTCCTTTGATGCACGATTCAAGTTATCGTCTGACTTCCCTCTAGCATCTACCTAGACGTGCTACACAAACTTGCCTTCAAAACTCTTGTGTTTTAAATCAATGAATGTACTTCTGATTTTTTTTAACAAAGACAATAACATGGTTCGTACTTCTCCAAGCAAAGTTCGAACGAGAGTGTTTCAGTTTTTCGGCCAGTAAAACTCTTGTGTTTGAAATCAATGAATGCCCCTTTGATTTCTTTGAACAACGACAATAACACGGTTTGTACCTCTCCAAACAAAGTTCGAACGAGAGTGTTTGATGTTTTTATAGTTGTGCAAACTAAGTTAAATTACTCTACTCCTATTGAGGTTTCGTGAGAGCTCCAGATACTAAAAGCTAAAACTATGTGTACATTGCAGAGGAAACTAAGTTCTCCTATCAGCTAGAGCATCTTGGCTGACAAGTCTCCACCCTCTAGGCTTCGTAGACTTATGCATAGGGATCGTCGCGTAACCCCCTACCCTGATGAACTAACCACCAAGTTCGTGTAATCAACTTGACAACTTTTCACCTGTTTGCTTGGTACCTTGCCAAGCCCGTCTTGCCAACTTGGTCTCATTGGCTTAGTACCCGGGCTGGCCAACACCACCCCTGACATTCACACTTAGTCTTGAGAATTTAGGGAGTGTCCATGACGATATTTTGGTACTCGATCGGGTGGCCACCTCAGCTGGCCACTATGTCACCTCCTCATCGGGTTGGCACCCTGCCAGTTTGATATATATACTTAGTTTTTGGGAGGTTTGATAACTTGATACCAATGTTTTCTTGTTAGCTCTCTTGCCTGGCTAGCAAGTCCGTCTTGCCAAATTGGTATCCAGACTTAGTTTTTATATGGTTCTCTAGTTGGTACTCTGTTGCCTAGCCACCAAACTAGTCTTGTCGGCTTGATATTCAAACTTAGCAAATGGGTGAATATGGTAATGTGGGAATTTCAGCATATCCCGCACAAACAAAAGCTGAAGCCAATACCTTGCATATTGTCCGATCTGAATCCAATAACCATTGTTAATTAATAATATAAATTGATTTTAATATATTTTTATGACACAAATTAAATGATTAATTGAAGTTACTTGAAATTATACCAAGTTAGCGGAAGAGTTCTCCAAGAATTAATGAGTCTTTGAATAAAGAATCCTAATGGATCAATTTGACCCAATTGTTTTGTTTTGAGACAATCTGACCAAATTGAGCTTTTTGGCAATATAAAATATAGATGAATCAATTTAGTGTGAAAAATTCAAATTAACTCGTTTGATATAGTTACAATTGTCTAGGGTGGTGTAGACAATTTTAAATGAATAATTTCGTAAAAAAGACAATTGATAATTATCTTAATTTTCAATTTATCCATCCAAACAACCTGCAAATAAATGGTAAAAGATGGCACATCCTCTGTTTAGAGGGGCTTGAAAGTCCATACGTAAAGATAACGGACTGGGCTCATACAGCGTTGAGCCGTTGACTGCTGTAGAGGAAAGAAGCTGACAAGGTACGGCGGCGTTTACACTTCGCCGATCTCAAACGGCGAGACGACGAGTGGCACAATTCACGCACTCTTTCAACGGCAGTTGCGAACAATCCAAAACAAACACCACCATCCCTCGCCCCTCCCCTCCGCCGCGTCGCCGCCGTGCTCTCCTCCGTCCCCTCCCTCCTTCCGTTTCAAAAAAAACGGCAAAATTAACCCCTCCCATCTGATGAGCAGCACGACTCTTCGACGCCTCAGAGAGTCAAATACAACCCCTGCCATCTGCCGAATACTCCATTAATTTATTCAATCCAAAACCTCCATATTTAAACTCACTCCACATCCAACTCCCAGGATGCCATCTCCAGGTCTCACTCGCCGTTGCTTCGATCTCAGCTTCTACGATTTACGGCCACTTGCTTTCTCCTCCGTCCTCACCTGTTCCGTGTCTGAATCCCTGTGATTTGCAGCGCGAAGGCTCATGGCGAGCATCTCCAGTACCTTATCGCTGAAGCACGGGCTGTCGCTTCGTCCCACGCATCAGCAGTCCGCTTCACTTATCCGCACCTCGTCGGCGCCGGGAATCGGGTTTCGAAGTTTCAGGAGGAGTTTCGTCGCCGCTTCCTCCTCTGCCTTCTCAAACGAGAATCGCGAGTCAGTTCATTCTTTCTGCTTTTCTAATCTTCAAATTTTTTGTCCGTTCTTTGAGCGTGTAGTGATTTTTTCTTTATACACTTCGGAAAGGTTTGTGATCGTCGGGGGCGGGAATGCAGCGGGATACGCAGCCCGGACTTTCGTCGAGCACGGAATGGCCGACGGGAAGCTCTGTATGGTGACCAAAGAGGTGAATTCTTCGTTGTCGTTTGATCATTTTTCTCTACAACTCGAATGGCGATACTCTAGCAATCTTCATCATTGTGGACTTCTGTAAACTCCGTCTTCTTCTTGCAGCCACATGCTCCTTACGAGCGTCCTGCTTTAACAAAAGCATATCTGTTTCCTCTAGATAAGAAGCCTGCACGTTTACCTGTAAGTAATATTCATCTTCTCCTGCTTCCTGGTGATTTGTCTAGTTCAGTTCTGATTTCCTTATCAGAGAAATCAATGGCTATTTGATTGAACAAATTATTGTTCTTCGACATTGTAGGGCTTCCATACTTGCGTTGGTTCTGGTGGGGAAAGACAAACTCCAGATTGGTACAAAGAGAAGGGGATAGAGGTACCAGTCTCACTTCAATTTGCAAAATTGTTCAGCACAAAGTGGTCTCTCTTGCTCTTGTGTACTTTTCTGTCTGTTTTTTTTTATACACTAAGATACTCCTAACGAAGAAGAGTGCCACTAATTTACTTGAGTTGGGAACATTCACTGGATTCAGATGATCTATCAAGATCCAGTTGCGAGTATCGATATTGAAAAGCAGACTGTTACAACAAATTCAGGCAAGCTGCTCAAGTATGGTGCTCTTATTGTTGCTACGGGATGCACAGCTTCAAGGTAGTTTAGACACTCAATCTGATCTTCATATATCGTCTCTCTTGGTCTGAAGATTAAAATTACTACTATTAGTATGTGAAACATTCCTACATTTCTGAACGGTCCTGGTAACGATTAGGTTCCCAGAGAAAATTGGAGGAAATTTGCCTGGCGTCCATTACATCAGGGACTTGGGAGATGCTGACTCGCTGATATCATCTTTGGTAACTCCATGTCATTGCTTTATTTGAATACCTCTGGGGCTACCGAGTTGCCCAGCAGTTGTGCTTTCAGTTCATCTAGACAGATATGGAGGTCTCACAAGCAGTTGCCGATTTGTAACAGGAAAAGGCAAAGAAGGTAGTCGTTGTTGGGGGTGGTTATATCGGTATGGAAGTAGCTGCGGCAGCTGTTGGTTGGAAACTTGATACAACGGTCTGTACTTTTTTTTTTCAGTTTTAAATTCTGAGAATTTTGTTGCAAGGTATCTATTAGGGATACTAAAAACTCAATTGCGGATCAGCTTGCTTTGTTAACGAATAGAACCATTTGAAAATTTGTAGATATGGCCGATGCCAGATAGGAGAGAGCATCGTGCCATTTTCTTCTGATTATTTATGTTACTAGAATCTTCTGATGTTATACATGGTCTTAAGTTTTCCCTCTTTCGATTGTGCAATATAGATTGTGTTCCCTGAGAATCATCTGTTGCAAAGGTTGTTCACTCCTTCACTTGCTCAGAGATACGAGCAGTTTTACCAAGAAAACGGGGTTAAGTTTTTGAAGGTTCTCTCTCTTTCTCTCAGTCATTTATGCTACATAATTGCTTATGTTGGTAAACTATTCAGAGTGTTCAAAGTTCTAATGTTTGTAATTACATAATCAGGGTGCCTCTATAAAGAACCTAGAAGCGGGTTCTGATGGTCGAGTTTCTGGTGTTAAGCTAGAAGATGGATCCACTTTGGAAGCTGATACGGTACTGAATATCTTCATCATTTTGTGTTTTCCCTACTCAAGACGGTTTTTACATTCATGTGAAAAGTAGATCATTATTGGTCTCACTCACATTGGGATGAATGTATTCCAGGTGGTAATTGGAATTGGTGGGAAGCCAGCTGTAAGTTCCTTTGAAAGTGTGGGATTGAACTCCTCTGTTGGTGGAATAGAGGTAAAGCATGGGCACAACCAATATCCTCTACAGTTACCATTCACATGGTATTCTCTTGAGATGTGTTTATGAAACTCGCGTATTTGCAGGTCGATGGTCTGTTCAGGACAAAAGTACCAGGAATATTTGCAATTGGAGATGTTGCAGCATTCCCTTTGAAGGTCTCCTTTATTCTCACCATGCAGAAAACACGATTCAATACTTGAACGTTCGTTTGTATCTTTCCAAACAACATTCTCTTGATGCTGCTGTTATTGCAGATGTACAACCGCATAGCACGAGTTGAACATGTAGACCATGCTCGTCGATCTGCCCAGCATTGTGTTAAATCGTTGCTTACTGCTCACACTGACACGTAAGTCTGATATTCTTGGTATGAGGAGTGTTTGTAGATCATACTAAGTTTGGATAATTGGATTGTATGTATATTGGTACAGGTACGACTACCTCCCTTACTTCTACTCAAGGGTTTTTGAGTATGAAGGGAGCTCAAGAAAGATCTGGTGGCAGTTCTTTGGCGACAATGGTAAGAAAAAATCACATAAAAGAATGCAAATTGGGATTGTCTCTACTTCCACTTGAGACGTCCGTTCTTGATGTGGCATTGAACTCATAATTTACTGTTCTGGACAGTTGGCGAGACAGTTGAAGTAGGAAACTTCGATCCAAAAATCGCTACATTCTGGATTGACTCTGGTAAAGCTAATTTGTGTTCCATTCATAAGTTTCGCGCACTGTGCGGTCAAGGTCCAACATTGCTCATCAATGTCTTGCTTCTTTCACAGGTAAACTGAAAGGAGTTCTCCTGGAAAGCGGAAGTCCAGAGGTAAACGATCTTACATTTTTACCGCGACATTCTTCTTTGTCTGAAAGTTGCAGTTGCAAACTCGTAGTAATGATGTCGTTTACTTCCATTTTGTAGGAATTTCAGTTGCTTCCTGAACTTGCTAGGAGGCAGCCTGCGATTGACAAATCGAAGCTTGAGAAGGCATCTTCAGTTGAAGAAGCACTAGAAATCGCCAGGTCTTCCCTGTAACTATCTTCCGCTGCATTGCCTCCACTCCAACAGAAGAAGAAAAATCTCTTCCCTGATAATGAAATGGGGGTTTGGTAGGGGAAGTGGAAAAATGAGGGAATATCTTGCTGAAGGAAGCTTCATAGGGTTTTTCTTCGTTCTTAGCAAGTCAATAAGTGATGTGAAGAGGGTCAATTGTCATTAGTGCAAATCATAGGGGTTGCAAATTTGAACTTGGCTTCTTCCTTTTTTCTGATCAATTTTGTTGAGCATCAGCTACTTAAGATGTCATTTCCCCCCTCATAACTCTTATTATTGATAAGTATGTTATTCACGTCAAACTATGAAACTTATGGGGTAATTAGCATAAATGGTCACAAAACTTTGCACTTAGTACAAAACAGTCACAAACCTTTAATTTGTAACCATTTGATAACAAAACTTTTTTACTTAGAACAAAACGGTCACAAATTAAACAGTGTGATCATTTTATACTAGTTCAAACTTTTGTTACCGTGTCGCTGCAAATTAGACTTTTGGTGACCGTTTTGTACAAATTAAGTTCAAAAGTTTGAACGCTCAATCACCATTACAATTCACTCTAGTGAATGATATTATGTTGTTTAGGATGACAATGAGAGAATTCAATGGCTGACAAACGGGTTCCAGGCTGCTTTTTAGTTGAAAAACCTATGTTTACTTTCTTACTTTCTTGGTATCGAAATTGAAAGGTCAACCGAGGGCATTCTTATTCGTCAAAGCAAATATGTCGATGAACACATGACCTGACATCTTATATGTCGTTCAAGTGGTTAGTGTCATATACTTAACGAAAAAACTACCCGACCTCAAAACATGACAAACATTTAATTTGTAACGATTCGGTAACAAACCTTTGCACTTAAAACAAAACGGTCATAAATTAAATAGCTGTGACCATTTTATACAATTTCAAAGTTTTGTTACCGTATTGTTACAAATTAAAGGTTTGTGACCATTTTGTACTAAGTGCAAAGGTTTGTTACATTTATGCTAATTACCCGAAACTTATGTGTATTTGTTTGTCTATGTATTGAGAAACAGATATCTGTACCATTGTCCATTAATTATGGACACAGCCAACTTGAGGAGTTGGAAACTTAGGATGTGGCCGCATAAAAGAAATGCAGATTTCAGTTATTTCAACCATTAATAATCATATCATTTAAACATTATACTTAACCACAGTTTATTTGTAGTAATTATGAATGATAGTATGATACCATTTTCATTTTTCCCCAGGGACGAAATAACTGAAAGTGGTGAAGATACTTGTAGTTTAGAAGCAGGATTGAGATCAATAGATGGTTCTTCAGAAAATATTAGAAAGTGATGGAATTGAGATTAGTAGCCCATTTCCCGAGCATTTAGATTCAATAATGAGACAGTATTGTAGTTTCTCACTCTCAACCACTACTGTTCTAGCTTCATCACTAATTCATGTACATTTAATACAACTACTCACCCCTAATGTTCTATATATATGTTAAATTGATGGTCTACCATGCCCCCAATATTATTATTGTTATAATCATCATCATCATCATCATCAATTCATCATCATCATCATCATTGCATGATTTGTTTAATTTGAAACGTGGACATACAAGCATCAACCCACCCCAAATCTAGCAAATTATCCAAGATTTAGAGATGGGACACATGAAAAGTGGTAATCTCATATCTGTCTCCTCCTCCCATGCATTCCAATTGTTCAAAAGACTTTGGAAAAAGTCATTGGAGTTGTCTTGAAAAGTAATGTTCGTGCACTAACTAATTCCAACCTTTCTGTTGGCTTCTTGGTAACTTTTACCGGTGAAGATCCGACCAACCGCAGCACCATGGAAAAAAGAACACACAGTTGACACTCTACACATGTTTTTTAATTTGCTCTTGCTTGCGTAGGGAAGATCGGTTTCCTTCTTCACCAGACTATTCGACGTCACCTAAAAAACATAACAATTATCCACTAGTTGCATGGTGTAGTGAATAATAATAACTACCGCTCCAAGTTGAGACTACATACGTACCAATCCATAACCTGTAGACTGAGGGGAGCCGCCTGTTGTTCTTATGAAAACCCATTTTATGTTCCTGTCATAGGGATTAATTTACAGGATCAATCTTAAACACCACTTGTTCGATCTCCTTGCCATCAGCTTTCAGTCCCATGATATAGATAGTTTCATTGTAAAACATTACTACATATCGATAAGATTTGACAATTGGGCACTAAACTAAATTTCTGTCTCCGACACACGACGTAGTCTAACATACATGAGTGATGTGAGATGAGTAGTAGTAGTAGCTAAAATTGAAATGGTCTTTCAGACCACATTAGTAAAGTATCTTCCACCTTCAAGTTTTTGTAATCACATTTACTCGATACTCTTGTCAAAGTGAGTGCAAAGGGTAGCCATTTTAAGGGATGGTTGAGGTGCCATGATTACTGATTAGGACTATATGTGTCATATATGATCCGTGTTCGGAAAGCTACACCAAAGCAAATAGTACTGATAGGGTATCATAGTGACTAAGGAATTAATACCATGGCTAATGACATGGAGAAGGGAAGAAGACAAGAGGAAAAAGACAAGGCTGGGGGACAAGAGACAAGCCCAGGCACCTGACATCAGCAAGGACAAGGGGCAGGGGGACACCCTCTGCCAAAAGGACTATGAACAGTGTCAGAGAGTCTGAGGCGCCCGACCAGAGCATTTATGGCTTGGCAGGCGCCCAGACCACTACCTAACCCTCAAAAGTGTATAAATAGGAGTTCTCTCCTCATAAATGGCAATCTATCTACTTTTACTCTAACTTCTCTCTACTTTCTCTCTCTATATACTTCTTCTCTTTTTCTACTTCGGACGAGGCGGGGCGCCTACCCCCTCAAGGTCATGGCTGACACCCCAAACCCCTTGGACCCGAGCGACCCCCAGTCGATTGGGCTCAAACAATTGGCGCCCACCGTGGGGCCAAGCATGACTTTGAAAGACGCTTCCAACTCAAAGAAGGGAGAAGAAAGGAGTCCAGCACCTACGAAGACCCCTCTCAAGCAAGTTGTTGGTCGCGAGGCTATCAACCCTCAACCACTCACCATCCAAGGTTTGGAAGCATCCGACGACGACGATCCATTGGGAGACAGAGAAGGCACGGAGTGCCTGGAGGGCCATCTAGCAAAGCTTCGGGAAAAGCAAACACTTCAAATGGCGAGCATGCAAGGCCAACTAGACCAAGTCATGACCGCGTTGACGGCACTCACCAAGGCCAACGACCAGGCGCCTCCCAATTCACAAGAAGCAACGGAAGAGAGGAGGCGCCTCCGAGGAAAGATGCAGGAAGTTGAGGTGCCACCCATGAACTCCCCACGGGAGGGTGTAGGCGCCTCACCAGAAGAAGAAGCATTCGAAGCTGATGACGAGGTTTGGTCGCGAGGCTATCAACCCTCAACCACTCACCATCCAAGGTTTGGAAGCATCCGACGACGACGATCCATTGGGAGACAGAGAAGGCACGGAGTGCCTGGAGGGCCAGCTAGCAAAGCTTCGGGAAAAGCAAACACTTCAAATGGCGAGCATGCAAGGCCAACTAGACCAAGTCATGACCGCGTTGACGGCACTCACCAAGGCCAACGACCAGGCGCCTCCCAATTCACAAGAAGCAATGGAAGAGAGGAGGCGCCTCCGTGGAAAGATGCAGGAAGTTGAGGTGCCACCCATGAACTCCCCACGGGAGGGTGTAGGCGCCTCACCAGAAGAAGAAGCGTTCGAAGCTGATGACGCCGCCTTCCTAGAAAGGAAATGGAAATTCACTACTGCGGAAAGTGATCATAGAGAAACAAATGGAGTCTTCCTGGACTCGCTTCCTCCATCGAGGAGAAGCCTAAGCGTGTTACTTCCTTCTCAGGGGTACGCGTAGGAGAAATCGATTCTTGCTCAAGATATTCATCCTGGCAAAGCCTTTACCCGCGACTAGCGGAAGAGCCCTAGTGCTTACACGTGGATTTTTATCCAAGTGTCGGGCGCTCGTTTTACGAGTCCCCATGAGAGGCGATATTTTGTCCATATCCCTCGCAAAACATTCCTGCCTTGACAGAAGGGGTCACCCAAACCCGCTTCCTCCGTCGAGGAGAAGCCTAAATGCGTTACCACTTTTTCAAGGGTACGCACGGGATACTCAAGCTCGCTTCCTCCGTCGAGGAGAAGCCTAAGCGCGTCACCTCCTTCTCAGGGGTACGCGTAGGAGAAATCGATTCTTGCTCAAGATATTCATCTTGGCAAAGCCTTTACCCGCGACTAGCGGAAGAGCCCTAGTGCTTACGCGTGGATTTTTATCCAAGTGTCGGGCGCTCGTTTTACGAGTCCCCATGAGAGGCGATATTTTGTCCATATCCCTCGCAAAACATTCCTGCCTTGACAGAAGGGGTCACCCAAACCCGCTTCCTCCGTCGAGGAGAAGCCTAAATGCGTTACCACTTTTTCAAGGGTACGCACGGGATACTCAAGCTCGCTTCCTCCGTCGAGGAGAAGCCTAAGCGCGTCACCTCCTTCTCAGGGGTACGCGTAGGAGAAATCGATTCTTGCTCAAGATATTCATCTTGGCAAAGCCTTTACCCGCGACTAGCGGAAGAGCCCTAGTGCTTACACGTGGATTTTTATCCAAGTGTCGGGCGCTCGTTTTACGAGTCCCCATGAGAGGCGATATTTTGTCCATATCCCTCGCAAAACATTCCTGCCTTGACAGAAGGGGTCACCCAAACCCGCTTCCTCCGTCGAGGAGAAGCCTAAATGCGTTACCACTTTTTCAAGAGTACGCACGGGATACTCAAGCTCGCTTCCTCCGTCGAGGAGAAGCCTAAGCGCGTCACCTCCTTTTCAGGGGTACGCGTGGGGAGACTTCAGCCACGCCATCGCAAAACGCAGTAGTCGGGGTCGTCAGAAGCTCGAAATTTGCCCGTTTCAGGCTCGAGCTCCACACTGGACATGTTACCCTCAAAGCTTTAGCTTTCCCTTTAGAGGGAGCGGAGGCGCCACCCATAGAAGCTGATGGCTGCGAGTTATTAGACGCCATGGCAAAGAGAGAGAGGTGGGCAGAAAAGCGAGTCTTGGAGGAGAACCGGGTGCAACGCCGAAGCAGGTAACGTGCGGGCAAAAAACCGCTATTATGCCCCGTAACCTTAGGAGGAAAGGCGCCTTAGACGCCTTGAAACGGATAAACCTACATCGCAAATAAAGAATAAGACAAAAGAGGGGGAAGCACCGCTCGAGCAGGGAAACAAACAAACACTCGGTGAGCGCGTTCAAACAAAGGAGGAGGTGGCGCGCAGAGTCTCCTGATAGAGCAACTGTCGGGAAAATGAGAAGCTTAAACACGGCGCCTAACAAAAGCTCGGAGGGTGGCGCTCAAACAAGCAATAGAGTTCAGAAAAGGAAAAATCTTGTAACAAAGACGGGGAGGCGCCTCCCCCAATTAAAGAAAAGGCACACGATGGCGCCGCCCCTGGTTCAATGTTTCGCAAGGGTGTCGCCTAAGAAAGATTAAGCAGAGATTACCTACGCAAGTTCCGGAAGCGCTCAGCAAATGGAAGGAACGGCACCTGAGAAAAAAATACATAATTGTAGAAACAAGGCAGAGGCGCCTCCCCCAATTGAAGAAGAGGCGAACGACGACGACACCCCTAGTTCAAAAATTGTAAAGGGTGGCGCCTAGGAAGAACAAAGCGGAACTCACCTACGCGAGCTCCGGAGGCGCTCAGCGAATGGAGGAACGACACCTGAGAAAATACATAATTTTAGAAAGGATGAGGCAGAGGTGCCTCCCCCAATTGAAGAAAAGTCGAACGACGACGCCATCCCTAGTTCAAAAATTGTAAAGGGTGGCGCCTAGGAAAAACAAAGCGGAACTCACCTATGCGAGATCCGAAGGCGCCCAGCGGATGGAAGGAGTGTTGCCTGAGAAGGGCCAATAATTTATAGACAAGGGCGGAGGCGCCTCCCATGATTGAAGAGGAGGACACATGGCGAACGACGGCGCCACGCCTAGTTCAAAAATTGTAAAGGGTGGCGCCTAGGAAAAACAAAGCGGAACTCACCTATGCGAGATCCGAAGGCGCCTAGCGGATGGAAGGAGCGTTGCCTGAAAAGGACAA